CTTATATTCGTTCCGAAAACCCGCCACCAAACACACCTAAACACACACCCCACACCCGATAGGCTGTTTACAGTAACCGAGAGACCTATTGGCCTTCTGGCTGGGGGCCTAGCCCCTTTCTTCGGGCTTTGGCCTTCTGGCTGGGGGCCTAGCCCCTTCATTAGGCCTGGCTAGGATCCTACTGGCCCATTGTCTTTTAGCGTGAAGCTAGTGAGGTTTTGTGCCTGGCCAGTCCGGGCATGTCCGGACATGTCAGGGCTGGATACATTACAGAAGGGGAAATAGAGCATGGCCAGGGTGCATTGGAGGTTCCAGAGGATAGTCAACCGTCAGAACCATCCTCCCCAGCACCATGGCAGAGTGTTGGGTTATCAGTATTTAGCAGAGTGCTCAAGGCACATAATGCAGCAGAGTGTATCTGATTAGTGTGTGCTGTCCAGAAACAAAGGTACACATGGAGCCTTTTTATCTTTGTAAACTTATATGAGTCCTTTTATTTAAGGAACTTCATTCTAGACAGGATAGAATGAGATAGGATTCTAATCTAGTCTTACTAGCTAAGATAGATGCAGATAGAAAAGTCTGACAAAGTGTAGAGAGAATGCATGAGATGGGAAGGAAGTTTTCCTATGAGTAGCAATCTACACATCAAAGGGATAGCATTGGAGGAAAGAAGAAAAGGATGCCCAGTGTCCTAGCCTATCTCTCTCTCTCTCATAGTCCCCTTCTGAAGGCTGAGGCTCAGCACAAAGTCCTTCACTTCCAACACTATGTACACTATGCAATTCTAAGCAGATATACTCAGAAGTAAGTTCTGTTGACCTCAGTGGGATTTCCTAGCAAGTTCACAGCTTTGACTGTTTTTTTTAATTAGAGTGATTGCTTATTCTCTTCCTTTTTCTATTATTGTAATTATACCACTGTAAAATTATAATTATAACAATGTAAAACAGAAAAGTTAATGAACAATTTAGCTGTAGTATGTAAAGACCCACCCACATGCAGTAACTAGTTAAACAGATAAGTAAAACAAACTTTGAAGGGTCTGTTGCAGACAGAGAGAATAGAACCTATGCTGAATGAGACTTACATCCAAACAAACATATAGTATGATGTTTCTCATGGGGAAGTTCATTTCCAGAATTTATGAGAAATACAGCAGTACATTGACTGCTGTGTGGTGTCACAGTTCTGATGGCAAAGGATAGTGATAAAGGAGTGCCTGAGTAGCTCAAAAGGGTCCTAGTCTGGATGCAACCCTAACAACAGGTATCCACCAGAAAGTTTGCCTGTGCAAGCCCTGTTAAGATGAACAGGAGCCACAAGAACGAGGCACTAATTTTGTACAGCCTTTGTACATTTTTGTCTGGCCTGTGCAAATGAATGCGCTGGTGGATTGCAGCCTATGCTAATTCGTGCATGTTGGCAAAAACTGAGCAAAAGTATTTATTAGACAGAAGTTCTGTCCGTTGCACATGGTCTGCTTAAGCTTTTCAGCGTTTTCCTTTTGTTTGCATATTTCAGTTCTGAAAGAGATCACTTCCCAGGGCTGAATTCTAGGGCGGAGTGTCATACTCCCCGCTATACACCAATAAGCTTCACCTCTTTAAGACAAGTTGAAAAAGTAAGTTCAACAATTTGCTGGGGACGGGTGTTTGGCATAGGTACGGCTCTTGTGCTCCTCAACAGATTCAATAATGCTTCTTTTAACTCCCAGATAATCTCACTTTATTTAGGGCTTGCTTAGATCTGCTAGGAGCTGCGGTGGCCCAAGTGGTTAAGACACTGAACTGCAGGCTGTGGAAGGTCAGTAGTTCAGCAGTTCGAGCCCCGAGTGTGCCGCATGATGGAGTGAGCTCCCGTCTCTAGTTCCAGCTCCTGCCAACCTAGCAGTTCGAAAGCAAGAAATTGCAAGTAGATAAAGAGGTACCACTTCAGTGGGAAGGTAACAGCGTTCTGTGCGCCTTGGTGTTTAGTCATGCCGGCCACATTACCACGGAAACGTCTTCGGACAGCACTGGCTCTTTGGCTTTGAAACGGAGATGAGCACCACAACCCTAGAGTCGGATTCGACTGGCTTTCGAGCAAGGGGACCTTTACCTTTTTACCTTTAGATCTGCTACAGCTTTATTATAGCCTTTATTTCTTCCATTTATATCCTGCTCTTTTTGTCTCAATGGGAACTAACATGATGTCAAAACAACAATGAAAACTTGCTTGCTGATTGATTTATCCGTCCGTTATATTTAAATAAGCCTACATATTCCTTAATCAGTGTAGGCATCCTTCCAGATAACTTGCAGTTTAATAAGTAGAAGTTGCCATTCAGTGCTAAAAAGAAAGGTAGTCTTCAGTGGTTTCTTCTTCATACCCCGTTAGTGCTATCTCAGAATGTAAATAGCCTCAAATGAAATGGCAGCCCTTCTGATTCAAATTTACTTAAATAAACTAAAATTGAGTCCCTGTCTGATCCCTATGAATGTGTTGACTGCTCTGGTTCCATGCCAGAACCAGGGCCTCTGACAAAAGAATGTTAATTTTTTTAAATGACTGTGGATGTTTAGTCAATAGGAGTTAAGTGTTAGGAGATAACTGCCAGGACCCTGTCAGAGCTTCGAGAAAATGTCATCCCTCCTGCTGAAGGGCAGAGGTGTCCTTCTGAAAACTGCATTTCAAAGACCAGTCAACCGCAAGCTGGCTACGAATTAAGCAACTTGGTATACAGGGTTTGTCTAGGCATCTGAAATGGACCTGTAGTTCTGTTGAGGAATATCTATTTGCTTGTATATTTATAAACAAAGCAAATATTATACAGACACCATATGTTTCCATTTGTCCAAAGAAAATTGCTCACCCTGGAACTTAATCGCGTGCGTGTGTGTGTATAATTCACAATGTAATTTGGGGAGCTTATAGCCTTCCCTCCCAACTCTGAGAAATAAATAAGTCAGGCAGGGCAGAATTGTGTTGCTTATCATATCACCAAAAATATTTAACCTGTGTCTGAAGCACTGATGTAGCCACTTTCTATGATACTGAGGAGGTGTTACATTTTTCAGGCATCATATCTTGCATTTAGATTACTTGGAAAATTTAAACTGTGATCTTTTTGAACTCTTTCAGAGCAACTGGCTACAGGTTTTCCTTATCAGTACCTCTTCCCTACTCCCCTATGCTAGATACAGGTGACAGATCTCAGTGAACTTGCTGCACCCAAACTGGGTTACCAGCCTGCCTATGGGAACTTGATTGTGAGGTGGATCCCAGATATACGGCACAAATTATTGCAGACTCAGAGACCATCCACAAGAATGTAAGTAGCTTACTACATCCAGAACATCACACCGTATGCACTGAAAACAGCTTTCCCCCCTGACTGGAGAGATCTCATACTGGTATAAACTTGAGAGCAAAGGATTCCCTTCATTGCCAACAAATCCAGCACAGTGCAGTTACAAATACAGAGAGCCTCATCCTGTTAACACTCACAGGAATTGCTAGCAATAACCTCTTAAATGACCCCTGTAATTCTCACAGAAGATCCATAAGGAGTCAACAGTATAACTCAGTGGTGGCGAACCTATGGCACGTGTGCCAGAGGCGGCATTCAGAGGCCTCTCAGTGGGCACGCGTGCCATCGCCCCAGCCAGGCCCAGACCGTCATTAAAGTGTGGAATTCTCTGCCAAATAATTTTAAGTAAATGAAAGCATTTGGGATTGCTTTCCTTACTTTGTTTGGATCATCTTATGTTAATGTATGAGTTCTTTTTTCTAAACTAAAACCTCAGTATTTAGGTTAAATTGCCGTGTTGGCACTTTGCGATAAATAAGTGGGTTTTGGGTTGCAGTTTGGGCACTCGGTCTTTAAAAGGTTCACCATCACTGGTATAGCTTCTCTTTGTTTAGACGGACTCCTACACAACGAATGTGTGTGAAAGACCTTGCTTTGGAAAACCTCCTGTCTTTTAAGAACAGCAGCGAGGCTGTAAGTTTCCCTATCTAGATTCTTCTACTTCCTTCTTCTAGATCAGATAGCATTTAAACAAAATGTAGCCCTGCTCCTGTACTTTTATGTAATAGCAGCCTGACCCATCAAGATTTCACAAGTAAAGCTTTTCCTGACATGAAGTGATCGAAGAAGCTTTACCTGCTATAGACTTGGAAATCCGATGCTACCTAATGTTGATGACTGGGTAACAGAAATCCTAGAATTTACTCCCTGGGACCTGTAACATGTAAATATATAAAGGAATACCTTATACATATTCTGTGGCACATGGGATGCCTTTCTGGGGTGCTTTGATGACAACTGTAGTTCCTCACAGCAACAGCCATTAGGACCAGAGCCAGTTCTAGCATTTGAGTGGGTATGTGGGCTGGATAACATGTCTCATAAGCAGGCAATGGGAGATGGAGGTGACTGTGACACCACAGGGGCCTCTCTGGAATAGTCTTCCATTTACTTGTTAGAGAAATGCTGGAAAGAGGCAATAGACGCAGTTCTGTTATACAATGGGGTCGGTCACACGTGCAAGATAAAGCGAGGGGGAGCAAGGCTATTTCCTCCGGAGGAATTTGACCCGCAGTTGCACGATCAACACATGGAATTCACTGCCACAGGAAGTGGTGGCGGCTACAAGCATGGACGTTTTCAAAAGGGAATTAGATAGGCATATGGAGCAGAGGTCCATCAGTGGCTATTAGCCACAAGGTATAGATAGGGACTCTGGGGCAAGTGATGCTCTGTCTTCTTGGTGCTTGGGGTCAACAGTGGGAGGGCTTCTAATGTCCTGGCTCACTGCTGGACCTCCTGATGGCACTGGTATTTCTGGCCACTGTGTGACAGAGTGTTGGACTGGATGGGCCTTTGGCCTGATCCAACATTTGCGTCTCTTATGTTCTTATGATCACACAGTCTTTGGAAGCTGCGGGCACAGCCTACCACTGTGTAATCAGACGCAACCGCAGGTGAGTTGGTTTTTTTTTTTTGCTGTTTGTTTCCAGTGCGCTTAAACGAGGAATCAATGAATCGCATCTCCACACTGAGGGCTCCCTATGGAGTTTGTAATGATGTGCATACTGAGAAGGGGGGGAAACAATGGCACGGCGTCGGGATGGCCTGATCAGACCATCCCGACGCCATGAGAGCGCACTGGAGCTATCAGACACGGGAAACGCCATCCATGGCCCATCGCAACCTGTTTACTACCGGATTTTCCCTGGTGTCTTTACTCCGCTCCTGCGGCGGAGCAAAACGGGTTACCGATGGGTGCAGGGCGCTTCCCAGATGTTCGTGTCTGATCGCGCCCTTTAAATCAGCCTAGCATTCTCACCTATGGTGGGTCTAATTGTGTGTCTGATCGCGCCTAATAGTAGCTCTCTCACTGCCTCCTCTTTAACATATCCCCCTTCCAAAATAGACCATTAATTCAGAGGTGCTTTTGACATCACAGGCTCCCATTTTCTGGTTGGTGAATTGCCAGGAGGGAGCAGAGTTTAGTACTCACATGAGGGAGCTGTGGAACACTCTCTCCTGTAGAGCCATTCCCATTAGGAAATGGGAAATCATCCCAAAGGTGCATGGCTGCTGGAGCTATTTCTCATGTTCTTTGTTGGAACAGATGGGTCAAGAGCCTTTTGTTAGTGGTGGGCCCTTTACTGGGCTGTGGGCCTGCAGGTGCCCCACCATGCTGACCCCTGATACCAGCCTTGATTAGGATCTGCTATCTCTTGCTGTCCCACTTTTTCTTCCCTATCCCTTCCTTCATTCATTCTCCTTTACCTTTTCCTCTTTTTTCTCCTGTTGCTCCTGACTTACTTACCTGGATGAACACAATACTTTGAATTTACAGAGATCAATAGCTAATAATAAAGGCATAATTTATTGTTAGGGTCATGCTCTCTTCCTGATAATTTTCTAGCACCAAGGTATAGTATAATTGCTTTTCCGAATTTCATGGGGAATTTTTTACTGTTGCTTATTTCTTTTTTGTATTGTTGGTCATTGATGGTCATGGAACATTTCAGTAAACTAAAAGAGACAGAGAGAAAGCTTTATCTGCTCAATCTCTGTACGGTCTTTATAGAGCCCGATGCTGTGCGGTGTTATCATAACCATTGTAATGGCAACAAATTTTCTGTTACTTGCTTTCTGTCTGCTGTAATTTGTAAGACATAGACTATGTCTTGTGATGTTATTTCGGCCTGTGGCTAGCATGGAAGTGGAATGGAGCTGAACTGACACGGATTATTTGACTTAGGCTGTTGTTAGAGTGTAGGTATGGGACCAGTGGCCACCCATCTCCCAAAACAGAAGAAGAAGCCCAAGTGTTCTGTTTCCAAGCTGTAGTGTATAAGATTAGGGAGAATGTTCAGCATATGTAATTTTATGGCAGGTACTAAATGGCAGAGTTGTGCAGTGCAGCCTTCGGAGCTCGGAGTATAGCCTGCCCATTCAGGGGCCTCCATGTAAACCTTGAGTACCTTACACTCACAACTTTTGCATCACAGTGAGGCTCTTTCCCCTTCCCCCCCCCCCCCCGCCCCCGGGGTGGTGGGGACATTGGCAAGCATGAGGCAGGGTTTGGTGTTTAGGGTAGAACTGGGTGTTTGGCTTTCTAATTTGTGTATGCATGCATTTTCTCCTTTTGCTAGCATTGCCCTAATCTACAGACAAGAAAAAAGTCGAATAAAGTTCCAACAGGAGGCCAGCCCTACCTCTTGCATCTAAGAAGGAACCTAAAGATTCCTCCCAATAAATCAAGGTCAGTCACAAGCTGCAGCTCTCCTGAGTTATACTTTGGTTAAGGGAAGAGCCTGAAGACAAATCCGGCCACTGAAAGAACTGGGTTGGCATCCTGGCCCACTTGCTCAGGAGTTGGGTATTTTTAGCCCAGAGGAGTGACTGTTGTGTTGTGTTGGTTTTGTTCCAAAGCAGTCCTACAGACAAAGAAAGGAAGGCTGTGGAAAGGCCTACTGGGAAGAGGAAACTCTTCCCACAGCACCTGCAGCTTTCTCCCTTAGCAGACACGCAGGGGAAGAGTGCCATCCATCTGGAGAACAAGAAAAGAGTGTTTCCAGGCAGCAAAGAATTCCCACTTATTGTGCAGAAGGTACCTGGTTTCTACGGATTTGAACCTAAAATAGGTGAAAACTTGGAGGAGAAATTAAAGGGGAATACATGTTATCTTAGTTTCTTGGCTGAAGGTCTCACATCCATAACTACACATAGCATTGTAATATTAAAACCCTCTACAGAGCTGTGGTTAAACTGACAGGAGGCAGGAATTTCTGCTCTTTTTGCTGGGTTTTGAGTTTCCCCCCCCTTTCCTGTTCTTTTCTGTTTGTTTTTGAACGAAGGGTATGCAGCCTTGGGGTGCTTCCAACTTTTAAAAGGTTCAGTGGAACTAACTGGCTCATCCCCTTGTTGGTGGGCTATATTCTCTTTCCAGATCTAGTTTTCAAAGCAGGCTTACTTTTAATTTGACAGAAGAACTGGATTGGCCCTGACTTTTTCATCAGCTGGTGTCTCAATCCCAACTGGACATGTTGTGTGTGTATGCACAGAGGCCATTCTGACCAGTGTTTCTAAGTTGGCATGCATCTCCATGACCCTCTACAGAAGGAGGGCTTGTTTACACGTATCAGGGCTTTCTCCTTTCTCCTATCCCTTCCATAGGAGAGGTGGAGCTGTCTCTAGTAGATCTAGGGATTTCCTGGTGGTGCAAGCAGTTTTCTTTAAAAAGTTGTTTGATGTTACAAGGTGGTAGAGAAAATCCATGGGTATAATCCACATACTTTCAGGATGCAAGGTTATCACCATATTAATGAATTGTTAATCCTTAATCTAGCCTCCCTTCTTTCACTGTAGGCTGACTGATGCTTTGGTTTGCTTTTCTTGGTGCTTTCCACATTGTGTGGTATGGCTTTCTTTTTTTGGTGGGTTTTTTTTTTTGGTATTTTTCATATGTGCGTGTGTGTGTGCACCTGGAGGTCATGGCAACCTCTGGTGACTGACCCCTACTGTGGGCCTGGAAGATATCCAGAGAGATGACTGAATAAAGCCTGCCCCCGCCTCCCGACTGCTGGTATTCCAAGGAGGTCTATCATCCAAGTACTTGCCAGAGTTGACCCTGCTTAGCTTCTGAGAAATCGGGCTTGCCTGGGCTATCCGGGTCAGGGCAATGGCTTGCCTTCTTGATCACCAAGATGTCTTGTGTTTTGTATTTAATGTTGTGTGATGTATTGGTAAGAAATTGTTTGGATATATTTATGTGTATTGATGTCTAATTCCCCTTACATGGAAAGAGAGATAGTCACTGCCGAAATGATATTCAGGTTAATAGATTTTAAAAGAGTGAATCTACCTTGGGAATGACCTAGTAAAGAACTACATCTGAGTTGCTGGTTAAAGAAATTGGAAACTAGGTAAAGTATATAGACTGATATTAGTAAGGTAAAAAGGTAAAGGTTTCCTTGCTCGAAAGCCAGTCGAATCTGACTCTAGGGATGCGGTGCTCATCGTTTCCAAGCCAAAGAGCCAGCGCTGTCCGAAGACATTTCCGTGGTCATGTGGCTGGCATGACTAGATGCAGAGGCGCACGGAATGCTGTTACCTTCCCACCAAAGTGGTACCTATTTATCTACTTGCAATTTCTTGCTTTCGAATTGCTAGGTTGGCAGGAGCTGGGGCCAGAGACGGAAGCTGACTCCGTCATGCGGCACTCGGGTCTCAAACTGCTGAACTACCGACCTTCCGGTCTGCAGCTCAGCGTCTTAACCACTTGAGCCATTGTTATTTAGCAAATCACACTAGGTAACAGTTTTTTTTCTGTCTTATTATCCATTGTGTGAGAGTGCATTGAGCCTTCTGTGACCCAAGTTACTTCACTTGTAGTTCTCTAGGGTGCAAATGATTCTGTTGTGTTTGGCTTGCAAGAAACCTTTTAGAGACAATGATTTGATTCTAAATACATTTCTCATCCTCTAACACCACCCTTATTGCTTTCTTTAGGTTCCTGTGAAAGAAAGAGGCCTAAGAAGAATCCAAAGCCAACTCCAAATTCCTTTAGAAGGTCTGGATATTGTAATCCTGGCTTTGTGTACTGCCTGATCTAGGTGGTACCCATAACGTTTTCTAGAAAAAGTTGACTTGCTCGTTCTGACCTTGTTTTAGGCCCTGGGATTCCGAAGCATCTTCTGTCAGCCCTAGCACAGCAGCTGAACAGCTCTACTTTGACTTTCCAGGCTTCAGGTGCCTGTGGCCAAAGGAGTGAAGGAGAAAGCTTGCAGTGCCAAACCTCTGTGCCCCAGGAAGCTGTAAGTGACAGCAAACAAATTGTCTGGTTTACTATCAAGAGTTTTGCACACCATGCTACAGGGCTGTGGGAAACAAGGGTGGGTTATAATGGTAATTTTAGGGAACTACCTGTACATGCATATTGCTTTTATACCAGTTCAACCAGTCATAGCTTCTTCCACAGAATCCTATGAATTGTATTTTGATGTTGAGTGCTGATAATCGTCTGCTGGAGGTCCCTAGTTGCCGCCCGGGGACTGCCATTCCCAGATCACATGAGAAGAGATGTCTGTTAACGTCTATTAAATGAGTCAAAATCTGTGAAAACAAAAATGGGGGGGGGGGGTTGCTAAGATATGCAGCCCTGGGGTGCTCCCAACTTTTGCCTCTAGTTAAGTTCTTCCAGTGTGTCATACTTTCTGAGTATGCGTTTTGGTAGTCCAGATACAGCAATCATTGAGGCATTGTCTGCACTTATCCTCTCCAGTCTGCAGAGAAGGTGCACCTGCCAGAGTGTAGCCCTCAGACATCACAAGTGGCCATAAATAGAAGGAAGGCTTCTTTGAAGTTTGTGGAGTACAAAAGCAACAGAGCAAGTCTGTTCATGGGAGGTAAGTGTGGCCATCTGTACACCACAAGGCTAAGGCTGGTGTCTTGAAAAGCAATTTTATCAGTAAATGGAAATAGCAGCGAATAGGAGGGCAGGAGTATTCCTAGAGGATCAGTCCATCATTCAGCTATACGGTACTTCCAGGTTCAACTGTAGTAATGCTACTGGATATCAGTTGCTGTGGTGTAGGGTCAAAAGTGGGAGAGAGCCCATTTGTTTGGGAAATTTCCCAATATATATTGGGAATATTGGGATTCCCAATATATTGGGAATAACCAACAAACCCAAAGTCTATATTGGGAATATTGGGAATAACCAACAAACCCAAAGTAAAACCAAAGACATAAATAGAACTAGCAGCTGCAATTATAAATCTAGATTCTGAAAAGCGGAAAACCAGAGCCAAAAGTTCTTAAGTACTATTGTAAGTTCCGAGGAACAGGACAGGGTTTGCCTCATGCCAGAATGCTAGCAGAGACGGCCAGAGGCCCTTTTCCCTGTGGGGAGACATCCAGAGCCTGAGTGGAGACACAGAAAGGCCCTCCCTTTGGTAGCCACCCATATTACTCAAGAAAGAAGGAAGGGTAATAAGGAGAAGGGCCTGATATGAAGAACTCAACTGACGGGCAGCTTCCTGGAGAAGTAAGTGGTCGTTTAGCTACCCAGACAATTTGGGGTGTCAAATCTTTACAACAGCTCTTTGAATTCAGCTTGTAAACAAACTGGGAAACCGGCTGAGATTTTTCTGAACTCTAGGCAATATTTTAGTTTTCCTGTTCTGCACAAGTTGAAATTTCTGAACATGTTTCCAAGGCAGAATGCTACAGTATTCTAGCCTGGATTTGTGGAATCCCATCTCTCTCCAAGAAGGGAAGCAGCTCCTGCTCCAACCAAGGATGAGGCAAAGGCTACAGGCGCCATGCCACTTGTGCTTCTCTCAGTGATACTGAACTTAAGGGCGCTGCAAACCTGTTCTTTCAAGCATGCATGTATAAAGGCGCTGATGCTGAATGCATCCATGCATTTTCTCCCCCTTTTGCTCAGGTTATGACAGCAGTGTTCACCAAATGTCAAAGAGCGAGTCCAAGTACAAGCAGTATTGCAAGCAGATCGCAATCCGGAAGGGGGCTGCACTACCTCAGGGTGATCTCTCAACTGACAGCAAAGAGCTGTGGCTCAGGGAAGAAGCTCAGAAATCAGAGGAGAATCTCTTCCAATCCCCTAACCCTCCTCCCCCCTCCCCACTTGTCTCTGAGTGCGGCGACAGCGCTTCACAGGATCTTACTTAAATCTGAAAGGGCGGGCAGGCATCTGTTGCACACACGGCAGCCTGCTCCAAAGGCAGTTACTTCTTTTTTTATAAAGGAGGTTGGATGCTGTGAGGCTTAGAATCATTAAAATCCCACATCTTCAGTTTTGCTGCTTCTGTGGTCCTTGTCTCTAGACGCAAATGCGATTAGCATGGCTGTATCTGTAATAACATGAAAGAAGGAAGAAATGCTTGTGGTAAAATCACCTCTCAGACCCTTGTTTTTACCTCAGCTGGCCCAGGTCTCAGGCTGTAGTCTAGACCTACAATGAGGAGTTTGCTTCTCCAACTTTATTTCACCCCTTTCCCTTTTACAAATATGGTTTACTCTCCACTGTCATCAGCAGGCCACTAATAGAATTGCAGTCTAATGGCTTGCAGAATCCCCTCCCCAATCCAGCCAGCCAGGGTGGAGGTAACGGGAAAATTTTAGAAATCTCACTGGTTAGAGGTATTTCAAGTAAGTCAAGTTCTTCCTGCTTCTCTCTTTTACTTTGATAAGCGTGAGGCTTTTTCTGTGGTTGGTGGTGGAAAGTGCCATCAAGTTACAGCTGACTTATGGTGACCCCATGGAGTTCTCAAGGCAACAAGAGACATTCAGAGGTGGTTTGCCATTGCCTGCCTCTGTGTGATGAGCTTGGTATTCTTTGGTGGTCTCCCATCCGTATACTAACCAGGGCCGACCCTGCTTAGCTTCTGAGATCTGATGAGATTGGGCTATCCAGGTCAGGGCTTTCTGTAATTGAAAAGACTGAATGACTCCAGTTTCAGGAAAGGAAAATCTTTTAAGGAATGTAAGTAAACAATAGGTACAATGAGTAAAAGTATACAGTAGAACAGCAAAAGACTACAGCATTTGAGCATAGAGTGAAATAGAAATAAACGCACTCCTCTTTTTTTCCTAGGTCTAAAACTTATCTTTTTGCTATTAAAGAGTTGGGTAAGCGTATCTTAATGGGTCCAGGTTCATTTATCAGGCTCTGTTCATCTCAGTTTTACTGCTTTTCTCCATTTGGCAGCTCACCTGCCATCAAATCCTGTGCCAGTGTGTGCCTCCTTCAAAGTTCCCATGGAGTCTCTATCATGCCTCCATGTGGCTCAAGCAGGACTACCTCACATCAAGAATGTCTGTTCCTCTCCTCCAAGGGAGAGCTGCTTCTTCCGCAAACCCTCAAAACCACTCCCATGTAAATTCACCAGAAAGAGAAGAGACTAGAACCATTTGGTTGTTTTGAGGCTGGAAGTTCCTAATTATGGAGGTGCACAAAGCCCACCCATCCTGTCTCTTGGGTTGCCTTCATGATCATACTAATGGCTGCGATATCCCAAACTCTGCAATTTGGAAGTTAGAAGGAACTGAAAAGGTATTGGTAGGAAACTGGCTGTTTCTTTTGACCAGACTTCCACTAAGGACACTTTGAGCTTAACGTTTGAGCATTCACAAAGTGTAAACCCAACATTCATAAAGCAAACGGGGTGGGGGGGGGATTTTTTTTTTTACACAAATACCTGGAAAGTGATGTCATTTTACTGCACTGATACCTCGTATTTTTTATTTAATAAGTTATATCCCACTCTCATGAGACAACTCACATTAAAAATAAATGCTAAAACAGCATGTAAAAATAAGCCAGAAGAACAAAAACAGTGACAGGGAATGAATTGGAAGCATCAAATTGCCATATAAAACCTGAACTGTAAAATCTAGCAATAAAGTCAAAGTAATACATAACACAAAATTCTTGGTGAAAGAATACTGAAATAGAATTGATCTAAAAGCAGAATCAGTTTACTTACCTCACTTATATCCTGACTTCTTCCTAGTTCTGCTCTGCTTCATTTTATACTCACAACAGCCCTGTGGGGTGAGAGAGTGACTGGCCCAAGGTCACCCAGCAAGTTTCCATGACAAAGTGTGGATTTGAATATGGGTCTCCAAATCTCCTAGTCTGACACTCTAATCACTGTACTGCACTGGCTCTCTAACCAACTGTCAATGCAGATAATTCAACAGGAAGCCATCAATAAAATGCCTAGAACTGTCAAAATGCTTCCAGTTGCCTTGTGAAGCTCAGTTAGCTTGGTGCCAGGCAAACAGCAGTGGGGGAAGGAGTTCTAAAGATGGTGAGCCACCACAGAAAAAGACTGGTCTCCAGGAACAGTCTACCTTACTACTGAAGGTGAGAGAAAAAGTCAGAGATAGTGGATGTCCTTGAAATCATATTTTTATTTACAAATGCACAGGTTGTACTTGTGCACATACTCTAGGGGTGCAGAACCAAGCACACAGGCAGGCATTTCTAGGCTCAAAACATCAAGCTTGTCTCCCCAAACAAAATACACTTCCAGGCAAAACAAACATTTTCCCTGGCAGAGTGTGTGTGTGTGTGTCCCTGGGAACAGCAGAATGACTAGCTGCCCTTTGTATATCTGAAGACGTGAGCTCTGACTCACAAAAGCTCGTATTGAAGTAAATGCTGTTTGTCTTTAAGGTGCCACTGGACTATTGCTTTATTCCGTTCTTCGTGGACATGTAAAGGTAAAGGTTCCCTTGCTCGAAAGCCAGTCGAATCCGACTCTAGGGTTGCGGTGCTCATCTCCGTTTCAAAGCCGAAGAGCCAGCGCTGTCCGAAGACATTTCCGTGGTCATGTGGCTGGCATGACTAAACATCAAGGCGCACGGAACGCTGTTCGTGGACATGTACTGTCAAGCAAATCTGGTTTCAGCCTGCAATCTGGGCAGCCCTGGGTGTGACTCAAGGCTCCCCCTAGTGCAGCTTGATGCCTTTTTCTCTTGGTGTTGGCCAAGCCAAGCTTGAATTGGAAGCCATATTAGAACAGAACAAGGCTCAGAAAAAGATTGTACCAACTGGGGTTGGTGAAGGGTGTTTGTGAGCACTGGAATTTTACACAGTTCAGTTCCTCAAGCAAAATGGGAAAGGCAGCAGATATATGGAGGGCAGGTGACCCAACAGACATTTTAGGTAGTACAGAAATGAATAAGGAAGCATTTTAAGGCTCTGGCTCCGCCATGTCTGACCTTGAGGTTGTGGTGTATCGATCCTTTGCTTGAAAGCCTGCTTTTTTCATCTTCTGCTGACTGATCTCATGGAAGGTAGAGATGGAACATAAGCAGGAGCTTACTTGGCCTTTCATTGGTGAGTTGTGACTCATAAATGGGCTGTACCTGCATTGATTTTCTTTTGGGGATTCTAACCAATGCCCTCTGCTGCCTGGAACTGGAGCTACAAGAAATCCCTGTCAAAGGGACGTGCACCTGCAGCAAGGAAAGTAGAGGATAATGTTCCTGACTGCACAGGCCAATATTCTGAGGGATGCAACTCTCCTGTTTTACTTCTTGCAAATTGTGACTCTTTCTGTAATCAGGAAAGGATTTTTACACTTCTGTAGTACAGGGTTGGTGTCAGATTTATTTTATTGCTGGACTAAAATTTATTTTTTACCTAATTAATTGCAGGCTGTGATAAGGAAATCTGGACTGGCTTCTGACCAAGTAGATCCTTTCTTGCCAAAGCTGGTGCATGATAAATGTATTGGTCCTTAAGGTACTGTAAGGCTTTTTGTGGTTTGGCCACAGCAAAGTAATGTGGCTACTCCTCTGGAATCTGGATTACATTTTTAGATTCTGTGATGGCTCTCTGCTGCCGTTGCAATTCCGGTATAGAGTGGGGATGGCCAAATGACAAGCATGCAGGCCAAAGGAGACCACTGAAGTAATTTTGTCTGCTTCTCTCCCCCAAATGTGAATCAAGATGTGGCAAAACATTTTCTCACAGTTTCCCATGTAAGGAGAGAGAAAAGAGGCCTGTTTGTATTTCATATACATTTGTACTCCTATCTCATGTGTCCCAGCAAAGCAAAATGCCTCTTTGTGTGTGTGATTGTCCAGGAAGCACATTGATTCCTCCTTCCTCCTCCCTCTTCATCTGAGAAAGCAGTCATGCTGTTTTTCTGAAGCTCTTGCTACTTGATAATTTTCTTCATTGATTGGATTTGTATCCCTCCAAGGGCAGTGTGCATAGTTAACCTCCTCCTCTTGCATTTCATCTGTTGGAATATACATGGTCTATAGTACACCTGCTTGAGGAAGATCGGTTTTTTTTTAGCCAATAGGGGACAGCTGAAGGACTGCTAGTTAGCATAGATAAATTAGGGACTTCCCAGAATTGAAAATTATGTCCTTCCTGTCTCCTGGTTGGCTCTTTGGACTTCCTGCTCCAACTGAGCCCTCCCCCTTCGTTCCTGTCTCTCACAGCAGTCAGTTAGTTAAGGCTCTCTCCATCTCCTTTGTTCTATTAGAGTTTATTTCTTTTTAAATAAACTGTGTTATTTTCTTTAAACAGTTGGTGCTCTGTTTCTTTGCATGTTTAAACTGTGGCAATATCATCTTCATGAGAACCCTGTGGAATAGGGTTGGTAACTGGTTCAAGGTTTCATGGCAGAGTTGGGATTTGAACTCAAGACTCATAGCTAGACTTACCACTTCCCTGCACTGTAGAAACCAAGACTAACCACAAAGGGACCAGATAGTTTTGTTTATTCAGGAAATTTATCTTGCGCTTTTCCACTTACAAAGAAGCTCTCGGGGTGGCTTAGAAATATTAAGATCACAATATAAAAATTACTTTTAAAAAGCATCATTAAAATGAGTAAATATCAGAAGGATAAAATCCAGCACATTATTTTGGCCCCCATATCAGTATCTGTGAATATGTAAGTTGGCCACCTCAGTCAAAACAAATATGTGATGCAAAAGAAGAAAGAATATTTAAACTTTAATCACACATTACAGAGTAGACAGGTTGGGTCTAGGACAGAGCAAGTTTCAGGTTCCCTTCCTATATGCACAGTGTCTTTTGGATAGGGACCATGTTGTATGTGGAGAAGGGGTCTCAGCCTTCCCACTGTGTTATTTTGCTGACTTGAAACAATGTGGTGTGTGGAGACACTATTTGGCTTACTAGGGAAACCTGGGTGGGTTTTCCCAACAAGCCAATGAGGACCCCTTCCACCCAGACTGTTTCAAGTTAGGATAGTAGAAAGACAGCAGGAGGAAGGAAGAGATACATGGGGGAAATCAGAGGTAGGCCCATTAGGGGTTAAAGGTGGACCCTTGCTCTAAAATGAGGCCTTCCTTTCAATATTAGCTTTCTCCAAGCGGTGTCCTTATTCAGGAAGTGTGCAGAGTGGTGTATTATTGACTTTACTTTCCTACACGTCCTTTCTTAGCCCACCTGACTGAAGCAATATG